TTATCTTTCTTCATCTTCTCCTTCTTCTTTACTTTATTTTCTGACTTATTCCTATTATTCTTCAAATTTATATTTTCTTTAGTATTTTTTTTCATGTTTTCTTCAATTATTTATTTTATATCTGAACATCTCTATCTTTATCTTTCTTGGTCATTTCCTTATTCTTTACTTTATTCTCTGACTTATTCCTATTATTCTTCAAATTTGTATTTTCCGTATCTTTTTCTAACTTTTCTTCGAATATTTATTTCATATCTGAACATCTCTATCTTTATCTTTCTTCATTTTCTCCTTCTTTTTTATTTTATTCTCTTAACTTATTCCTATTATTTTTCAAATTTGTATTTTCTTATATATCTTTTTCCAACTTTTTTTCAAATATTTATTTTATATCTGAACGTCTCTATCTTTATCTTTCTTCATCTTCTACTTCTTGTTTATTTTATTCTCTTACTTATTCCTATTATTCTTCAAATTTGTATTTTCTTATGTATTTTTTTTTCTAGCTTTTCTTCAAATATTTATTTTATATCTAAACATCTCTATATTTATCTTTCTTCATATTCTCCTCCTTCTTTACTTTATTTTCTGATTTATTCCTATTATTTTTTAAATTTATATATATATTTTTTTGTATATTTTTCATCTTTTCTTCAAATATTTATTTTATATCTGAACATCTCTATCTTTATCTTTCTTGGTCATTTTCTTATTCTTTACTTTATTTTCTGACTTATTCCTATTATTCTTCAAATTTGTATTTTCTGTATCTTTTTCTAACTTTTATTCGAATATTTATATTATATCTGAACATCTCTATCTCTATCTTTATCTTTCTTCATTTTCTCCTTCTTTTTTTACTTTATTCTCTGACTTATTCCTATTATTTTTCAAATTTGTATTTTCTTATGTATTTTTTTCCAGCTTTTTCTTCAAATATTTCTCTATCTTTATCTTTGTTCATCTTCTGCTTCTTGTTTATTTTATTCTCTCACTTATTTCCTCTTCATTGTTTCTTAATATTTTTGTTTAAATTGATATTATAACAGTGAGATTAAAGATTCATCCAATGTGTAGATGTAATAAATGACCTAACACTTTCGTTTACAATTAATCGAACACATACGAAACAAAAAAACATCGAATCTTTTATATACTTCGAAATCGAAGGGGTTCGGACTCAGGTTACCCAACATTCCAATTGTGTAGCAACATATACCTACAACCACAACCCAAAACCTATCGACATCCACGAAAACGCACAAGCAGCGCGAATATAACCCCAATCGAAAGAAATCTCAAGATTCTAAGCCTAAATCATCGCGGACAACCAAATAACACCACAAATAGTACATAAAGGCAGAATCGACAAATCAAACCGAAGAACAGCCTTAGAATAGGCTGAATCACAACCGAAGGGGACGAATCTCAAGCTTCGATGGTCAATCTCGCCGGAAAGACCAAGCACAGATCGATCGCGACGCGACGGGAACAGTAGGGTACCAGAGAGTAATGTGAGAATGAGAGAATGAATCACGCTACCAATCGAACCGGGGAAACATACATTTATATAAAGACTCTAGAACCGGTTCGGGGCGGTCCAGATCCAAACAATATTGGGTCGAATCGCGGGTGCAGATTCCGGATTTCGAAGAGTTGAGTCGGGTTGAAATGTATTATGCACAAAGCATCACACTGAATTAAAAATAATCAAAACATTGCTGATCAGTAAATAATCAGCATCGTAATCCATCTCATTCATGTCAACCTACTTGTATTTTGTATCGATAAATGGTGTATTTACTTGGGCTATCATTTACTTGGTAAGTTTCATTTTTTATTAAACAATAATGAAATGTGATATATTGTACAAATAATAATATTCTATTTTAAAAATTATATAGCAAATAAATTGAAAAATATATCAAAAGTCTTTGGGTGTATTATTTTTTTAATTTTATTCAATTTGTTTATTCTACAATGATCATAAATCACAATAAAAACATAGCAATATTTTCTCTAATAAAATAAAAGTGCAAAGAGAATATATTTATATATGATCAACATTATGTGATACATTGCCTTGGATGAGTGAACTTCTAATCCTAATGTTATGGATTCAATTGTTCTTGTTGGTATTTTGTCGGTTGAGTATATCACCTATAATTTTGACGTTGTGAATTACTCACCAAAGTAGTTTGCAAATTATTTCTCCAATTCGCATTTAAAATTAAAATACCATCAGCTACCACTATAGAAAAAAATAATATATTTGTAATGGAATTATGTCCCTAAAGTTCACGTAGCTAACGTAATTACATTCCTAATTTCCTCTCTAATATCATTAGTAACGGAAAAAATAGATTTAGAAACAAAAAAAATTGTTAAAAAATAATTTTTTCTTATAATGTACGTAGAATAAGCATGCAAGACCACTCTTTGGAAAGTTTTTATCAAACATACCACGTCAAGTTCTATAAAATAAAATAAATAAATAAATAAAGTCCTGATATTTTTAGGGTGTGTTTGTTTGGGGGTTTGGATTTTAGATTTAAATTTGAATAGTAAAAATTTTGAATGTGAATAATTGTATGATATGATATAAATAAGTGCTGATGTAATGTTTTAAATATAAAATTAATTTTTAGTATAATATAAAAAATAAAAAATAAGTATTTAATTTGATATTCGGAGAGAATTAAATAAACAGTGAAGTTTGGAGAAAATCCCCAAACAAACTCACAAAAAGAGCAATTTTATTACAAAAAGACCACCTTTGTCAAGTGCAAGCCAATAGAGGCTATTACAACATGTACAATAAGATGCGGAACTATAGTCCAATTATTAGAGGGTGCTTATTTTCAAAAATTTTAAAATAATACGATTAAAAATATATTTTAATATTGTAATTTTCAAATTGATATATTTTTTTAAAAAATAATAAATAAAGCAATAAAAAAAATACATGTATATATTTATTTTTGTATTGCTTAAAAAGAATATTTATAACAGTAGAACTGTTTTTTAGAAGAATATTTAAAATTAAATTTTTTTAAGTAAAATCTATTTAAAATACTAAAATGATAAAAAAAAAAAATCATATATGAAACTAAAAAAATAGTTTACCAAGATATTTTATAAAGAAAAAATAAAATATTTCACATATCGCTAACGTGGCATCTACATGGCGATGACATGACAGTGCCACGTCAGCGGACTAATGTGGCGAATCCGGCACAGGAGTACCATTTTTGTGAAAAGTTTTTACTTACAGGCTATTTTCAAATATAGTGCACTTAAAGTTTTAGAATAATAAAAAAGATTAGATACGAGGAAAAAAAAAAATTACCATAGTATAAACTAATTTAAATAATGAATGACAATGATACTTTCTGATGAAAAATCATATACTACCCAGTTATAAAAAATATGTTTGGAACTTATGAGGATGAGATTTTTTGAGGATGAGTTTTAATGTTATACTATCTCCATCTGGCTATGAGAGTCTCATTTATTTTTTACTTATTGATATTTAAATATTAACTATTATATCAAAACATAGTACAAATTAATAAAAAAATTACAAAAATACTTCAATCAGGATATTTTTAATGTTATAGAAGGACATTTGTACAAATTATACAAATATAACGATATTTTTAATGTTAAATATAATAATGTAAAAGGTAAATGAAATCTTTAGAACATAGGGAGGGTGTATGTACTTTTTTTTATTTACTTTTTTCTATTAAAAATAATTTTTTTTATATATTTTTATATGATAGAGATAGTACACTTATGGCGGAGGTTTTCTGGCTTAACGAGAGTTGGTTTGAGCCCACGATTTATTAAATTTATATAAAACAATTATTAAGAAATAAAATTAAACTAATTTAATGAATAAAAGACCAAAATTATTATTTTAAATGTAAAAGAACAAAAATTGACATATTAATGAATAAAATGGACCAAAAATATATTTTACCCTATATTTTCCTTACTAACCATGTAAAATTTGGTTTGAAGGCAATAAAAATAAACAAATCAAAGATAATGTGTTTATTAAAGATTTTGTAATTATTTTATTAATTCACTATTTTTTTAAAAAAAATATTAAATATTAAACACTTAATTTTTATTTATTATATTATATATTAAAATTTAATTTTACACTAAAATATCACATTAATATATTTTTATATTTCATCAAATAATTATTTTAATTTAAAAATTTACTATTCAAAATTAAAAGTAAAACAATGGAATTTGTTCTTTTTTATCTTTTTTCTTTTACATATTTTTTCAAAAAATATTAATATATAAATATCCATTATTTTTATATTTTCTAAACAATTTTCTATACGTTAAGAATTATCAATTCAAATAATTTTACAAAACTAACACACCCCAGAATTATCAATTCAAATAATTTTACAAAACTAACACACCCCTCATGTCGTTCTTCTATTCCCTCTCACAAATTTTTTTTATTTATGGTATGCTTTTTTTATGAATTTGAAAGAAAATTGATTTGAATTTAATATTAAAAAAATAATATATGATTTGATGTTATATTATGTTAAAGAAAATTAGATATTTAAAAAAAAAATATAAATTACAAATAGTAAAAACTTTAGGGTCTGAAAGGTAAGAAAACAAATCCTAAATTTTTTTATAATGTATGATCCTAGCCGTTAATATGTGGGTCATTTTCGGTGACAGCGTAGATAGCGAGAAAAAATTGGTACGTAAAAGTAAAAACGGGCATCAAATTTTTCCACGTGGTGGGTAGGAACTTTCCGGGTAGTTTCCTGCGTTAAGCAACTCAAGTCCCCGATGATTCTCAGGAGCTCCTTGGACCCAAAACACCCGATGAAATCTACACCGTTGATTGTGGCTGAGATTATGTATCGTATTGCGTTGATATTCTAACCCACAGCACGCCTATCGACGTGGTCCTTATCTGACCACTCATCTGTCGACATTTCTTATCCCCAAAATATTATTTTTTAATTTTTTTTTTTTTTTTTCAAACTAGAGAAGAGTGTAGTAATATAGTGAGAAAAATATCCTCAATTTTGAGCTGCTCCGCCATTGAAGAAGCTCTGAAGGATAGCAAGGTTTGACCTTTAATCCGATCTTGTTCTATTTCTTCTTATTACGTAATTTCGGGTGAAGTTTCGCGATTGGTGTATTTGCTTTTGTGTGGGAAGTGAATATCTGGAAGCAAGAGGTTAACTAGGTTTGATTTGTGCAATTATTGTGGTTTTTATGTTGTTCGATTCACGTTGACTTCATTTCTCCTTTGCGTAAAAGCTGTGGTGTGGAGGATTAGCTTTAGTGTGGTGATGTAGTGTAAGCTCTCTAGGGTTTTGGTGTTGAATTTATGTGAGTGTTTGCTTGATTTTTGCGTTGTTTGTTGTTTGAGCCCTAATTTTTCAGTATTTTTTCTCCTGATGGCACACATGGTAACTCTGCTGCTGTTAATTTTCAGAAGATAAGCCTGAAAAAGCATCGGTTGATTATCTATAGTTTTCTATGTTCTATTGGCTGTTTTTTAATTGAATTTAGGGTATAGAGAGAGTAGTGGACTTGGCCATGGAGGTCTTAAAATCTGAGGCTTGCACCCCCAGTTTAATTTGCAGCAAAAAGATTCTATATGAAGTGACAAAGGAACTGAACAAACAGTTTTTGCATAAGCAATTCGCTTTCTCACTTGATTACGTTTCATCGATTTTAGTCTACCTTGAATCCCTCTTATCCAATGATCATATTCTCATTTAGGCTAATCTTGAAGCATGAAGCGCCACTACTTTCTTGCCATCGTCGCCATTTTTGCCCTCTCGTGCTCTCTGCTTCCTTCTTCAAATGGTTTGAAGAGGATTAGCCTGAAGAAGAGGCCTGTTGACCTTCCCATCATGGACGCTGTCAGACAGGCTAGATTGGAGGGGAAATACGGGACTGGCTTCAAAGGCAGGGAGATCAGACTTGCCGAATCGGAGGGAGATGCCGTGTATTTGAAGAATTATATGGATGCTCAATACTTTGGAGAGATTAGCATTGGTACACCTCCACAGAATTTCAGTGTCATATTTGACACTGGCAGTTCCAATCTGTGGGTTCCCTCGTCTAAATGCATCCTGTCTGTGAGTAGATCATACTTATTTCTGTCTTAATGCGTGTTCTCATTGGCGTTGTTGGTTACCGAGTTCAATTGCTGTGCAGATTGCTTGCCTATTTCATACAAAATATAAGGCTGGGAGATCTAGTACATACACTAAGAATGGTATCGATGGTTTATGCATTGTGGATTTTTATTGTTAGCTTATTCTTGAAGGTATTTTACTGATGCATTGTAAAATATATGTTTTTTTAGGTAAATCCTGCTCGATTCAATATGGATCTGGCTCGGTCTCTGGATTTCTTAGCCAAGACAATGTTGGTGTTGGCGATGTTGTAGTCCACAATCAAGTTAGTTTCAATACTTGTATAATTTTTGAGATGTTTCTTGTCTTTTATGATTCATGTAGTGAATCTATTCTAAGCTTTCTGTGAATCTCAGGAATTTATTGAGGTTACACGCGAAGGCAGCCTTACCTTCGTCTTGGCCAAATTTGACGGAATATTTGGGCTCGGTTTCCAGGAAATTGCGGTTGCCAATTCAATACCAGTCTGGTACAATAGCCATGCAAGAACTACTTGGTTTTGAGATTTTCCTTTCCCCTGCATAACTTAAATCCTGAAGTCGATTCTTGTTGCAAAATCTTCAGGTACAATATGGTAGATCAAGGACTTGTCGATGAGGAGGTATTCTCGTTCTGGCTTAACCGCGATCAAAATGCAGAAGTCGGAGGCGAGATTGTCTTTGGCGGAGTTGATCCAAACCACTTCAAAGGCGAACACAGCTATGTTCCTGTCACGAAGAAAGGGTACTGGCAGGTAGTGCACGGATCAAACCTTTTGAAAAACCATTCTGTTCTTTATGTAGGAAAGACCAATTAAAAACTTCTTTTTCCTCTGCAGTTTGAGATGGGTGATTTCCTGATCGGCAACAAGACCACAGGTTTTTGTGACGGTGGCTGTGCTGCTATCGTGGATTCCGGGACTTCCTTGCTGGCTGGTCCATCCGTACGTATTCCTACCTATTAATTGTTGGTTCATTTCCTGTCATTTGCATATCATAGCTACGTTCTGAACAATGCCCGATTGCAGACCGTCATAGCTCAAGTCAACCATGCCATCGGGGCAAAAGGAGTTTTGAGTGCCGAATGTAAGGCACTTGTCTCCGAATATGGAGATATGATATGGGACAATCTCATAAATGGGGTATGGATTTATATCTTCCCTGCTGATATATGTGTTGCATTCGACCTTGTTTGGCTAATTCAAGGAGTGATGAAAAATACCTGAAAATTGGTTTGGACTTTCTTCAGGTAAGGCCTGACAAAGTTTGTTCCAAGATAGGTCTGTGCTTCTTCAATGGTGCCGACTCTGTGAGGTCTGAATCAAATCAAACACCTGTCTCTTTTCGATCTTGTTTTGCTTCTCCCTGACATGGAAAACTCTCTGCAGCTCCAACATTGAAATGGTGGTCAACAAGAACAAAACTGAGAACACGCTGCGCGATGATCCGGTGTGTACTGTTTGTGAGATGGCCGTGGTTTGGATAAAAAACCAGCTTGCCAATGAGGAGGTGAAGGAGAAAGTGCTCGACTATGCGAATCAGGTGATTATCCATCGAATGTTTTCTTCTGGGAATCGAATTGGAATTGTTACCATCACTTACATGAATAATTTATGTGTTGTTAGGTCTGCGAGAGCATACCGAGCCCGGGAGGCGAATCAGTGATCGACTGCGCGGTCATACCCACCTTACCTACCGTCACATTCACCATTGGCGGAAAAGCTTATCCGTTGACTCCAGAACAGGTTCGATTCTCTGCCACTCGATGAATTCGTTTCGTTTACTCGCATTAGGCTTGGTCTGAAAATGTTTGTGTTGCTGGTTTGTAGTATGTTCTGAAAATCGGCGAAGGAATTTACGCGTCTTGCTTGAGTGGATTCATGGCTTTCGATTTGCCCCCTCCACAGGGGCCCCTGTGGTACGAATCGAATGGCCTGATATCATTTTATTACATCCCATTCCATTTTCGACGCCCTTAGCTGGAATCATCGTCGTCTTCTTGTTTCAGGATTCTTGGAGACGTCTTCATGGGACCATATCACACGGTGTTCGACTCTGGCAACCTCAGGATCGGCTTCGCCGAAGCTGTCTGATCGATCATCGATCGATCTTGCGGACCAGGCAGTGTCTTGGCTTGTAATGACTGTAAGGATATAACTGTGTTTGTACGTACTAATGACTGAATGAATATGTGTGTATGGTTTAGGGGATGTTGTAGGAATAAACTGCTGCTTTAATGGTGTCTATGTTTTCTGTATGATATGTATGTATGCACAAACATGTTATCCCTGGACATGTTTTTCCAAGTCCGATAAACCTTGCTCTTTAAAATTTTAATTTTTACTGCTGCTCTTTCATTTTATAACGAAGTATCTATTTTTTTCGTTTTAGTCTGTCCTGTATTTATTATTTTAGTAACTGTACTATCTGTCTAGCATTACAAATACCTTTACAACTTACAATATATTACACAAATGTCATTACTTTTATATCACGTATAAGGTTATTTTAGTCATTTCTATTTTATTCCTACTATATCACAATATAATACTAATATATCACACGTACTAATAAGGTTATTTTAGTCATTTCCACTTTATTCTTATTATATTTTAATATAATATTAATATTTTTAAAATTACCTGCAAAAAGCAAATGGATACTTAATGTAATAACACTATTCTCTTTGCATATAAATTTCAGTTTTTTTTTTTTTTTTTTTTTTTTATTTCACAATTTTTAGTATATTTAGGATGTGTTTTTTTACACCAAAAAACTCATAATTTCTACTAGTACTTTGCATTTTTCGAAAAATTATAGATTTTTTTTCAAAATATTCTATCACATTATTTTAATATCAGATATAAATAAAAAATTTTCCAAACTTATCAAAGGTAACAAACTCTTGATAAAAACACAGTACTCCTATTTTTTTTTTTTTTTCATATTATATATAAATATGTATAAGATATCATATTAAAAATGTTATTTTCAAATCAAATTTTAAATATGTATTTATATATAAAACAAATATAAATACAAAACTAAACAAGTTAAAAAATTTAAAAACTCCTATTTAAATGGAATAATTTTAAATAAAACTAATTATTTTATATACTATTTTAAATTTAAAAAAATACATAGTTAATAAAATTTTGAGATAAAAAAAATTGATAAATAATGTTATAAAAACTAAACATAAAAAATGGACATCTCCATGGCTGAGGTGTATTTGTTTTTTATTTAAGAAGAAACTACTATTATTAAATATTCACTGTTACTAATCAAAATATATTATTTCAAAAACAAAAAATTATTAAATATGAAATATTACTCTTTTATGTCCACCACATGTATGTTCATTTGGATTGAACATAAATTTTAATAAATATAATTTTATATTAATTGATTGTGATATAAAATAAAATATTTTGGAAAATATGAGAGTGAGTTGATGAAGTTATAAATTTTTATATATATAAGAGAATTTGTTCGAAGGATTTTGAAGAAAATATACTATTTATAGAAAAAAATTTTCCTAAAACATCATATACTAAAAATCAATTTAAATTCAAAATATTACATCAATATTTACTTTTACCACGTTATAAAATTATTTTAATTTAATTTTTTTATTATTTAAATTTCAATCCAAAATTCAAACTCCCAAACAAACACATAGTTAAATGTATAAAAAATGTGACATTTTTATAAATAAATATAATGTTTTAGATTATAAATCAAGAAATATGTAAAAGGGTGTGTTTAGTTTATATTTAAAACAAAATCACAAACTATTTAATTATTTTTAATAAAAATATATAATTTAAAAAAAAAAATGACATCAAAATAAATTCAAATAAACTTTGACTTTCAAATCAAAACCAAACAAATAGTAACTAAATTTATTTTCCCTCATCTTTTCTCTATTTCCCTCGAACCAGACACATCCAAAATTAGTTACTCATAAATGATAAATATATATATTTACGAAAATAAATAGTATTACTCACTCTGTCATCCAATTGTGTGCTCATTTGACCAGGCACGGGTTTTAAGAAAAATATATAAAAATAAAAAATTTTATTTTTTTGGGTAAAAAAAAGTGGTATTTTTTACTAAAAAATGAAACAGAAATAAATTTGAATGACAAAAAAAAAAAAAGTGATAATAGATTCCAGATACCATGTTCACGTTGCCGTTTCTGTCCGTCTCACATACCATGTCACTTTCCTTTTTTGGAAAATGATTACATACTTTAATCTCATTTTAAATTTTTTAATTTATTTTTTTAATTTTAATTAAATTAATTAGTTATCTTAATCTTAATTTATAATTATTTATATTATAAAATAATTATTTTCACTGATACATTCTTAATTATCTACTAATTACACATTTTCTAAAATACCGTGTCTACAGTGTAGCAGACACGGTATCTGGGACGGACAAAATAATAAGAGAAGCGTAGTGATAGAAAACGACACAGACACAAGACGACAATTATGGTTTAAAGTCAATCCTCACTAATTTATTAGAAAGCTAATTAAGGTACTAATTACGCCTTTATTTATTTGTTTTTATTTTCACAAATTATTCTCCCAACTAATTTACTTTCTCCTTGTTATTTACAAAAACTACATCAAATTACATTGATTTTATATCAAAATAATTTTTATTCATAACAATAACATAATATCCCCCAAAAAAAGTACATTAAATATTAATTTACATTATATCAAAAGAGTATATAAATTCTATTTTATTATTAGGCTAAATTGCATAAAACTCACATGCGGTTTCGCAAAATTATGCAAAATCTCCTATACTTTCAAAATTGTGTCAAATTCTCTCATGGTTTCATAACCTCCTCGGCCATCCTTATTTATTAGTTTTTTACTTACACACGCTCAAACTGAGAATAAATTTCAGAATACTCATTTCTAAACTCCTAAAATTATAAATATATTCATTTATCTTATATTTAGCCTTAAAAATACTAAAAAAAACTTTTAAAATCAGATAAAAATAACTATTTTTTTAAGTATATTTACTGTTTATTGAGGTTAAATAATAATCATAATGACTATATTTGTAATTTCAGCGTTTAGAAACGAAGATTCTGAAACTTATTCCCATTTTCTGCGGGCGTAGATTAAACAACATTAAATAAGGAGGGCTGAGAGGGGTTAGACGCAGAGTTGATGAAACTACAAGGTAGTTTAACGCAATTTTAAAAATATGAAAAATTTCGTGCAATTTTGTGAAACTACATGTGAGTTTTGTCCAATTTAGCCTTATTATTATTATTATTATTATTGTTATTCAAGACACTATAAATATGGAAACATAGACGAACCATAAAACTTAGCACTATTTTTTCTATTATTCCAATTATTTAAAATAAAATAAAATTATTCTCAACTCTTTTTAAGTTTCCAAAAATTTGGGATATGTTCCTTTCAACGCGTGCAACTAATATATATATATATATATATATAGTGAGAGATAGAGAGAGAGAGAATATATTTACCCTAATCTACAAAGTAAAAAAATTAAAATAAAATAAAGTCAATCAATTAAATAGCCTTAATCACCTCTTAATTATTGACACCATTATCCTTAATCATCATCATTATAAATATATATGTATATATATATACTCTCTACATCTCATATCTATTTATCTTTTTATTTTTTTTGTATGAAATTTTAAAAATATTAGTATTATATTGAGGTGTAATATTATAAAAGTAAACATTAAAATATCATCGAGGTTAAAATTTATTATAGTGGTATATTTATAATATAGTATAAGTTGTAATTTTAAAAATAGGTAGATGTTATGATTACTAAAAAAAAATGATATTTTATTTTGGAGCGGACCAAATAAAAAAAATTGATAGATAATCAAGGGACGGAGGGAGTATAGATCAGGCTTTGTGTACATACATATTTTTAAAAATATTTTAGCATTCTATATCAACAATATATATATTTAAAAAAATATATATCAAATTAAATATTTCTTTTTTAAATTTTATTAAAAATCACATTTCTTTTTTCCTCCACTTAAAAATTAAATATTTATTTTTTGTAATAAATATTATATTTCAATAATAGGCGGTGATAGTTGTGACATGTAAAAACGAATTTATCTTTATAATGTGTAAAATCAATACGAGTATACTGAAGTAAATAAATATAAACGAAAGGATATTTATAATATGTAAAAGAATCTCTACATATTTAGAAAAAGAAAAGGAAAAAAATGAATATTTTCTATTTTAATAATACAAAATGACAACATATATACTTATTAATTTGGACAAAGAGAACAGTAAATACAATTATTTTAATCATTAATAGAGAGAGAGAGAGAGAGTATAGAAGATTAATGTAGGACCAAAATAAAGAGTATCAATAATTAAGGGCACATGCATCCCTATCAACAAACCAATAAAAATACTACAATATATATAACATTTAATTCATCTCGTCTTTTTTAATTAATAGAATTAATAATTATGCTCCAATTATATTCTATTCATACATGTAAATTATGGGTGTGTTTTACTTGTATATTTTTTATGATGTATATTAATTATAATAATTATTTGACATAATATTTTTATAAAATATACAATATACGTACCAAATAATAGAATATTGATTCAAAAAATAAAGGTAAACACACCAATAATTTGAAACATATAGTATATATTATCCAAACTTTTTTCTCTCACCGATGTAGTAAAAAGAATTAATTTTTAACATACTTTAAATAATAGATTTAAAGATAAAAGGATTCAATATCAAAATTATACTAAATTTCAAAATTTCCATACTTATTGATTTAAATATAAAAATTTTAAATAATAATAATAAAAAAAATACATTTATATATTTTCTTGATGCACGTGGGCACACAAAAGAAACCCCTGGATTAAATACCCCACAAGGAAATAATACATACCTACATTTAATGTATTATTATTATTATTATTATTATTATTATTTATGAAAAGGGCCATTTGATATTCCAAATCTCATCATTTTTTCGATGATTGAAAAATAATTGATGAAATCCATGAATGAAATTGTCTTTTTCCATTGTGCAAGAAACTATATGTGTAATGTACTTTGAGCAAGTTTAGTCGAATCTCGTCGAGTCGGGTTCGATCGAGTTTTAATCAAATTGACGGGACATATGCGAGGAAAGAAGTTTTTGTTTTTATTAGGAGCACGAATATCTCAAATTATTGAAACTTAATTATTCGATCAAATGATAAGAAGATTTGAGTCGCATCGAGACTTTTGAACGCAAGTTGCTCATATTAATTTACTAATTTTATTCCATATAATTTCATTATTCGTAGGGTCCAAAAATCATTTGTAAAATACAACCATACAACTCATAATTATTATATATACATATATGATATATAATTCATTGAAGCCATAAAAAACATTGAATAAGGATGTATTTAAATATAAAAAAAATATTCAAAACTAAACTTTTATTGTTTAATGTCTCGTGTGTACAACGACCAATAATTTACATGAGCAAAAATCTAACAACGTTACTTTTTATTACAGGCAATTCTAATGGTGATCGATAAATTATTAAGTGAATACCAACAACACACAAGTTATAACCCAACATAATACAAAATAACATAAGGTATTTTTAAAGTAATACAAAGACGTCCCGTAAGGAATAAATAAATCGGAATCGTAACCGTATGTGGTAAACTTAAACTCCAAAAGTGTAGAGCTAAATGAGATATACCAGGCCCATCTCTTCAACACATATAAAACGCGACTTAAATGACAAACCTTCAAAGGAAAACCTGGAGAAATAGTCCTATAAATTTCTTCAAGAAGATTGCCATGCAAGAATGCATGCTCGATTTAACTAAAGAAAAGATAAGGAAAAATAGTGAGACGAGCAACGAGAGCAAAAGTCTCATCATAGTCAATTTCATATTCCTGAGAATAACTTTTAGCCACCAGACGGACCTTGTAGTGCTCAATGCAACTATCAGAATTACTTTTGATTTTGAAAATCTATTTACACCCAATAAGTGTCTTGCCAAAAGACAAATCTACTAAATTCTAAGTATAAGTCTTTTCAGAACCTGCAATCTCTCAATCATAGCTTGTTGTCACAATGGATCAGCACTCGCGTCGAAATGACTTAGGCTCATGGTGAGATAACATGGCAGAGTAACAGTGATTGTCACACAAATGAGTAGGTGGTTGACTTATTCGATGTGATCGACGAGGTATGACAGGTCCAGGTACCGCAATCAGGTCAGCAGCTGAAGACGAGGTTGGAGGTGAATCAAAAACCTAAACTGAAGATGAATTAGAAGCCTCAATTGGAATAGGATCCGTACGTGGAGATGAAGTCGTAGGATGAGAATCAGGGAATAAGGGAGGACATGACGACATAAATGAATGTGAATCATAAATAGATGAGATATGAAATTTAGACATGGTGGAAAACATGACATTCTCCCAAAAGGTAATATGATGAGATATATGCAACTATTTAGAGATCGGATCCCAAAGCCTATAACATTTATGTTCTACCCCATAACCAATAAAACAACATAAATGTGCACGAAGTTCCAATTTAGAGCGTTCATACAGAGGGATAAGTACTAAACCGACACAACCGAAGAGATAGAGGATACCATAATCAGGTAGCTGACCATATAGACGTTCAAATAGAGTACTATTATGGAGGACAGATGATGAAATACAGTTTATGGTATAGACAGCAGTAAGGACAGTTTTTCCCTAAAACCTATCAGGACAAGAAACAGAAAAAAAGATGCATGAACAATATCTAAAATGTGACAATATTTGCGCTCAGCGCGACCATTTTATTGAGAGGTATATGAGCAGAAATGTTGAATCAATGTACCTTGAGAATAGAGAAAGCTTAACAAGATAAAATCTCTATACTCAAGACCATTATCAGGAGGGTCATTTGAACAAATTGAGTGTATATTTAAGGTAATTCTAAGTGGTGTTTCAATAAAATAGATCCATGTAAAACAAAAGTAATCATCTATAAATGTGACATAATAACGACACCTACTCATAGAAGGAACAAGGGAAAGACCCCAAATATCATAATGAACCGAGGAAAATGGTTTACTTGCAACTGACATATTTTATGAAGATGATAAAACTAGTTGTTTTTCTAAATGATAGTGTAAGCAATCAAATGACTCAAAGCAAGTAGAACCGGTCAAGAGACAAAACCGATCATACAGTGACTACTTGAATTGTCCATGACATAAGAGGAATTGAAAGCAACAACTTGATGCGAGAGAGTCACGATATTCTGGACTGAGGATGTCATTCCAGTAACATACACGAAATAAAATTAGATCAGATGACAAAACCGATCATACAGTGACATCAAGAATAAAAGCAGAAGGCAGCGGCTGGAGATGGCCTGATGCGCGACGGAAAGACGACAGCGGCGGAAGTGTCTTTCCGCTACGATTTGCGTCGACGGCGCATATAGGCCGGATGTGCCACCATTTGCGGTGAAATTTACGGGACGAGGTCGACGGACGGTGGCGATTCCAATAGTGGATGCGATGTTGACCAGATCATGGCAGATGACGATGAACAACAGCGGCGGTGGCTAGGGTTTCAATACCATATTAGAATTTGGGGGAAAATTATGAAATTGTACTATTACAAAAAATAAGAAAATACAAATATATATATATATACGAGCGGACTCGTGCCTAAACTAAGATAAATAATATCAAAGAGATATCTATATCTAACAAATTCGAACTAAACTGAAATTAAGAAAAAATATATATTAAAAAATAATTAAAATTAAATAAAAATATTTGAAAATATTCCAAACTGTTGATTCGAATCAAAACCAAATATAATATAATTATTGATATAAAGTTTAAAATATAATAATATAAATATATCGGTTCGGTAATCGAACTAAAAATATAAAAAATCGAATCAAATCAAAATATACAAATATCAAATATACAGTATTTGTATTTGAGTCAAATTTATTTGATTAACTGACTATTTGGTTTGGTTTGAATGTTTTGTCCACCTATAGTGTTATCTGCATTAAAGATTAATGATACTTCCTCCTCCCATAATCAGCGCATGGGATCTTCGGTCCCAACACAGAAAGTGCCCACAGATATACATGTATATACATACATGAGTGTGTACACAAACTTTATACATACATACCCATTTATACGTGCACACCCATGTATGTATATACATATGTGTATGGCACTCCCGGTATTGGGTCAAAGCCCGGGACCGAGGATCATGTCAGCATAATTAGATATCTATTTACTTTTTGTACATAGTATTATATTAATATGTAGTAAATAATTTATTAATCTTTTATTTTTATAATTTTTTGTAAAAATTATATAACAATTTATCTACACAAATTAATAAAATGGAAAATTAATCGATTATTTATTTATTTATTAAAAAATGAATATTGAATATATTTACCTCTTTAATTTGTATAATTAAACTCATATTTACAACCCAAATATCAATTTTGAACGAAAAGAGTATTACGTGCCAAATTTTATATTAATAAAAAAAATTTTCAAACAATAAATAAAAATAAAGTATTTTATATTTTTTCATTAAAACGCAGGGTTTGTTATATAATTTATTCATTTATATTAAAGTAAAATTATAACAGTACATTTTCCTCAAATAAATGCAGAGACTGTCCACTTAGATATACGAGATTAGCAAATTATTTGCTTTCTTCAAGAAAAGGGTTCGATTGATTCTTGATATGAATGTTTCAATTTAACCTAATTGGAAGTTCTTGATTTTGTTGAAATTCCCATTAAAAACAGCCCTACTGCCATAATTAGAGAATATCGATTTCAATTTAAGGTACGTATAGCCCATGTGATTAAATTGACAGCACTCTACCAAAAAAAAAAAATAATCAGACTTTCGAAAGTGAAAACTGATGAAAGCAATATTGTACGTGTATATATATTATACATACAATCTCTCTCTATATATATTCATATATATATGTATATCTATTTCTATGTATATCCGTCTCACACCAGGAGACATCCATTTCTTGAATCCTGTAGAAAAGTCGAACCCCAATGGTTTTTTTTTTTTTTAAAAAAAATAAAAAATAAAAATTAACTGCAACTAATTCATGTGTAGGGTTGATTGTAGCGACGAAAGAGATTGCTGGATTAATGGCGGGTCTGTGTCAGAGAAAAACTCTGTAGAATATTCATTCAGTCTTTTACCAGAAAACTCAGCCCACACTGTTCGTTTCAGACAGGTCCTTTTCTTGTTTTTCCATTTATTTGGAGAGATTAAGGTCGTCCTTCTGCTTCGTCAATGGCGATTTAATTTAATTTAATTACAGAAAAATCATCACTGCACATTGAAAGAGAAGAAGAAAAAAAAAAGGGTTGTGATGGGGGATGGTTATTTACAGATTGGGAATTGATATCGAAGGAATGTTTGATGGCTGATTATGTTCTACACAAGAAAGCACACTTTTCGTGAAATTTAATAATTAATTAAATTATTAATTAATCATGTCGAGAATTGGTGGAATTGAGCTCCCGGGAGACGCTGGAATTGGCTCTGCCCCGGATTTTGATGCCACGTGGCGGCGGCGGCGGCGGTGAGAGGTCCGTCCATGGCGAACGGCGGTCCGTACGGGTTTTGTTGGTGATCTTGAACCGTCGGATTTCCCAATAAATATGGAGCTTGTAGTTGCAAATAATCGGCCCACTCCATAAATGGACTATCTTTCTCAGTCTTCGTCGCCGGCGCCGCCGTCCACGGAAAGGGAATGCTGGCCGCGCTTACATTAGTCGCCCTGCCGGCGCCGGAGCCCCAATTCTCGACGTCGTCGGCGGGCTTTATTCGGGCCGGGCCGGGGAGGATTTGGGAAGGGAGATTTACGTCAGGGGAAGAAATTGAAAAATCCGGCGGCGGCGGCGCGCCGAAGAAGATATTGGCGTCCGGCGGCGTCATCGGAATCACTGCGGCATTGAAGGAGAGCAGCCCGGACAGCTCATCGGCGGCGGCGGCGGCCGCCGCCGCCGCCGGTGGCTTGCCGACAAGTCTATTGAGCAGTATCCGATCGGAGGCTGATCGAGTTTCTGAAATTCCGCCGCCGTGGCTGTCGAAGCTGAGCTCGCTGGAGCCCTGCGACGCCTTATCGGCGGCGCCGCCCGCCGCCGCCGCCGTATCGCGGCGGGCGTCGCTAATGTCGTCGGAAAGCGGGCGGTGGGTCGTCGGGTCGATTCCCTTCAGGCGGAGCTTCTTCTTGATCGACGAATTCCAAAGATTCTTGATCTCATTATCCGTTCTCCCCGGCAGCTGCGCCGCAATCTGTGACCACCTGTGCCGCCGCCGCCGCCGGCCAACGATGACGTCAGAATCCGACGAAACAGCAAATCATTATATATAATCAAATTTATTTATTAAAAATCCATTACCGATTTCCAAGGACAGAATGCAGGTCGACGATCAAATCCTCCTCCTCCTGCGAAAACGTGCCACGTTTCAAATCAGGCCTCAGATAATTGATCCATCTCAGCCGGCAGCTCTTGCCGCACCTTTGCAGCCCTGAATTATCCGATTACATGATCCAACGGTCAATTAATCCTAGGATTCTGCAAACATTATTATTAATTTCGTCGAATTAATTAATTACCTGCAAGTTTTGGGACAGAGCTCCAGCAGCCATGGCCGTATCTGGTGATATGGTTGACGAGCTTTTCGTCTTCCTCCGGCGACCAGAGGCCTTTTCTCAGCTTCTGCTTGTAGCAGCAAGAATGCCTTCCCATTTTTTTTTAGAGTGACAAAGTTTTTGAAAACTACGAGAGAGAGAGAGAGAGAGGGAGAGAGAGAGGGGGAGGGGGAGGGGACAGGAAGGAAGGAAGGAGCAGACTTTAAAAGGGAAGGTCACGTCCGCCGGGATTATAACTAATTGTGTAATTAGTTTGGCTTAATTGTGCAATTATGAAAACGGGTCAGTCGGGTCGGGTCGGGCCACGTCGTGTCGTATTCATGAGGGTTCTTACTTAAGCAAGCTATAATGGTGAATTTGACAGCACTTGTGGGCCCCTAACTCTCTCTCTCTCTCACACATTACACTGTTTGTTAACAGATACTAGTAGTATTTTAATATTGTAGTTGTTATAAAATTTTTGGCAATAATTTTTATTTAATTTTTTTTTTTTTGGCAATAAGGCTTTGTTAGCCAGTCAGATTTTATTTTATTATATATATATATAAATTTAAGAATAAGAATTTTCTTTTCAAAAAAATATCATATAAATACATTTTTTTTTATTTTTTAATTCTCAATTTCTCTTAAAAAAATTCAAAGCATCAAACAATCTGTTTCAATAGAGTCTAGTTTTGTTTACACAAAGTCTTTTGGGGTTTTAACACTATTTATTTTTTTTAAAAAAACATTGTATAAAATATATTTTTATTTTTACAAAATATCATATTAAAATACTAATTTTTTATTATTCTTAACTTTTAGAACTTCCAAAAATTGTGTTAATGTATGCAATGGTGAAGAAAGAAATATAGCAATTGTGTACTTGTTTATATTCATTTTTTTTAAAAAAAAAATATATTCTATATGTTGTTCTGATTGAGAAATTTTCCTACTATTTATTTAGTGATTTTAAGTAGAAGAAGTGGTTATTTCAAACTCAATATAAAATGGAAATAAATAAATAAATAAAATGAATATTTAATTGGGTTATAGAGGTATAAGATTAAAGGCAAGTTGTGGCAAGACAGCTAAGACAAAAGGAAGTCACAATGAGAAATATATGTATGTAAAAAAAGAGTGTTTGAACTTTGAAATAAAATAATTATTGAAATAAGTACTTATGTGATTAGTTGTATTTTACGATTAATTACTTTATGACAACAATATCCTCCCAAAAGGTGGACATCCTCCTTATGGCCATTCATATTCTTTATTCTATTTTTTGTGTTATAATTAAAATAACAATTTCAATAATGTTAAAATGGTTGATTAGTTCTAATCATATACTCCCTCCGTCCCAGTCTGGGTTGTATTTGCCACGGGATTTAAGAAATATTGATACTATATTTGTAGTAGATAAAAAGTACATGGTAAAAGACTATTTTGCCCTTGTGAGTATATTATTGTAAAAAGTAGTGGCAATTGTGTAATAATAATGAAATAATAATGGTAGTTTTACAGTGATATGATTATTTATGAAAATAAGACTATTATTTTGGGACAAACAAAAATAGTAAACAAGCCTATTGTATTGGGACGGAGGGACTATATATATATATGTTAGAAGAAAACAATATTTGATAATAATCCATACATACAAATATACGTGATGATTGATTTGCATATATTGTATATTAATATAGCACAAATAAATTGAGCTGATAATACATATAATAATAATCTACAACATATATTGTTTTAATTTCAAATATATGTTATGTGTACTATACTTGTGTTTGATTAGAACTAATTAGCATTGTGTCATCTCCCATAAAATACATCTATATATATATATATATATATTGTGGATATTAGACGTTAAAAAGAAAAATAATAAGTAATACTAATAGTTAATTAATTATTAAAATATTTTTATAAAAATTGAAAAATTGTATTATGTTGATCATCAAAATAAAAACTTGAAATATAAAACAGATTTGATAAGGCAAAAGAAAATGTTATTTAAAAAACTAAATTTGTTTTTGTCCGCATATAATTAATTTTAACGTTTAAATTGAATACAAAAATAGTACTTTCTCCGTCTCAATACAGTAATCTTATTTACTATTTTTGTCCGTCACAAAACAATAGTTTTATTTTCATAAATAACCCTACCACTATATAATTATCCTTACTCTTTCATTATTATTACACAATTGCCACTACATTTTAAACTAATACACTTACAAGGGCAAAAATATCTTTTATTTATCCACTATCAATTAATATTAATATTCTTTAAATCTCGTCTCCAACACAACCAAGACTATAGTTTCGGGACGAAGAAAGTATCTAAAAATAGACAATCACACCCTAAGTTAAAATTACGGCTAGCAAGCCACGTGTTATTTTCTATCATTTTCCATTTTTCTCATTAATAAAAACACATCTACTCTGAAAGTAAAATTATTTAACAAAACAGCAAAATAATAATAATAATAATAATAATAATAATAATTCAGTAATTGGGAACAAAAATTCCCATTGAAAATTGTCCCCTAACGGCACCAACTCCACTGCTCTAATCATTTGATGATTAATTAACTGTAATAAAATAATAGGACGAAATGTCGTAATTACCCCTGACTCATTATTCTTAATCCTGAATTAATCTCTGAAATCTCAATTCCAATAATTATCCTATCTTTAATAAATAAATTAATCTAATAAATAATTTAAATAAATAAATAAATAATACAGCCGATCGACCGACAGTCACAATAATATTATTGTGGTCAGAGAGTATTCTGCAATCTGAATATGGACAAATTTGGATAAATTATTAGGACACCACAAGTGACTTTTTATTTGTTTAGAAACAATGATAATGTCATTTAAAAATTGGTAAATTTGCTAAAAACCAGAATCTTTTTATTATATTTTTTTTTGTACTGATTTAATTTTATTTATTTTTTTGTGTCATGGGAATTTTAAAATAGCATACGCAAAAGACTTTTAATGATATTTAATTGGTAGAGAGAATTAAGGAATAAAAAAATAAATAAAAAATATTATGGGAAGTGTGTGTAGTGTAGTATATGTATGTGGTAACTTATTATGTGATTTTTGTGTCAATGAGATATGTTTGTATGTTTGTTGGGGTCCAATCATTATAACTTCATTTTTTAATAACAAGTTTTTATTATTATTAATGATAAATTGTGGTATTTCTTTAACTTGTTTGGTTTTTAATTTAAAATTTAGTTTAAATAATATTTTGATCCAATATTTTATGGGAAGAAATAATGTATTTTTCTCGGAACCATATAGGCTGAATAATATTATAATTTAAGTTTGAAGTAGAAACCAAACACATAAATTTTCGTTTAAATACTTTTATTATATGATTTCTACACAAATATTTTATTTTTTTATAAAATATAAATATTACTAACATGTTATTTAAACAAAAAAAAAATTACTAAATGAATGTACCATTTGACTCTATTTATTTGAGATTTTTTTTATTAAAAATATATTATTCTTTTTATAAAATGCATTCAACTCGATATTTAAATAGAAAAAAAAAATCACAAAATCAATAACTCTTATTCATTAATTAAATCATTTTTTTATTGATGCAATTCTAAATGAATATTATTAGAGAAATATAATATTAATATATATATATACACACAGTTATATACAATATAGAGTATATTCAAATCATTCTTAAAAAACATAATAATTTAATAAAAAATATTATTTTTTATATTATAAATACAATTTTTCATACTTAATATAAAAAAAATATATTGATTCAAATACAAAACGAACGCATGTGATACAAAACAAGCACATTAAGAATACTAGCATTTTTCTTGGATTTATATTGAATTTTCGGAATTGTATGACTCGATATTTTTGATATACCGTATTTAATCATTCATATATTTAATTATATTTAATTAGAATATAAAAAAATGGACCTAACCTAAAAATTCAAAACCCAACTCGGGTATGACAATAAACACTAACGGTCTATTTAGTTGGGATTTTAGATTTTGAATTTAAAATTACTAAATATTTTTTATTTAAATAGTTATTTGATATGATATAAATATGTATTAATATAATATTTTGAATGAAAAATTAAATTTTAATATAATATAAAAAAATATAAGTTTGATTTAATATTTTAGATGAAAATTGATAAATAATGATTTTTTTTTAAAAAAAATAAAACTTCAATCAAACACAAAATTTTTAATTTATATAGTAAATAATTACAGTATTATTACAAAAAATTAATGTATAATACAAAAATTATTTACTCTAAAATTAATTAATATCTATTTTATCTATAAAATATTAAAGAAATAAATATATTACATCGTATTACAATTATCAAATTAACTAAACTGAAAATAATTAAAATTTTAAGAGTAAACGCTATAGGACTGTAGTCAAAAGATAAAATTGCACAATAAGCATATTTTCAAGGTGATTCTTTCGACGCCTCTTCGATCCGGCATGGAGCAGCGGAGGCACAAGCAATGGAGTATTTTTCTCTCTTTCTTTCTTCTCAAGAAAACTGTTCTTGACACACAATTTTTTTTTTTTGTATTGTTATCACGGTGGCCACCAACCTTCGGCGCCGTGCAATCAATATTCCTGGATAGAGCCAACCATCGTCTTTGTTGCAGGCTCAATCGTTGTTGTGTTGGTCAAAAGAATATTGATATACTCTTTATACTCCAAAACCTCAATTTTTTTTTAAGGTTTATGGTTTCTTTATGCTTATTTTTTATGTACATTAATATTCAAACACTTAAAATCTTAAAAATTTATCAATTTCACAAAGTCAATTTATAGGGCACATATTTCATTCAAATCAATTTTTTTTAGGGTTTATGGTTTCTTTGTACTTGTGTATTTTTATTTTTTTAATGTGGAATAACATTTGGGTCAATATAACTTAAAATCTTGAAACATTTATCAATTTCGAAAAATTGATTTTTAGGGCACATATCTCATTCAAATTGATTTGGGTTTGTTTATGGTTATTTCAACATACTGATTTATGGTTGTAGCATTATTTGTTTATGATTCATGAAACTTTTGTTTGTCTGTTGTAGTATTCGTTGTTTATATAAAAATTGTGGTTTGAGTTTCGAGCC